AAATATAATAATAATTTTATAATTAATACAAAATTTATTTTATTATATAAATAAATTTAAACAATAAGTTTACAATTCATATTAATTTTATTTTTAAAACATAATATTAATCCAAATAAATTTAATTAAATACAATTCAAATAATAATGAATTTTAAAATTATTTAAAATTTATTTTATACAAATATATTTCTAATAATTAATAAATTTCGCTTAACACTTTTTCCTGCAGTTTTCACACTTTTTCTTCGTCGCAAACCGCCGGCTGCACCACACACATCATGATGGCACCGCACCGCCACCTTCTTCTTCTTCTTTCCCGCTCATTTTTCTCTCTCTTACTTATCTTCTTCTTCTCCGGAAAACCATGATCTGAAATTTTCATAATTAATGTTTGTTTTTGCATAGTCTTACAAAATATGTACAATTCGAAAGAGCAAAATAAAGACAAGTAAACAAAAAAAAAAAAAAATTGCATAAACATGAGTTAGTATTAAGACAGATGTAATAGATATCAATAAACCAATGTCTATCACTTAGACAAACAAATAAAACTGCTATACATAACGATACATTCTATTGAAAAGTTATCCTATTTAATATAAGCACAAAGCCACTGGTGCACATAAAACTATTAAATGTATTGTAAGACATGAAAATAATAAATCGAACATATTTGCTATTAGGATTCAAGTCTCCTTGATATCTTCTTGCTCGTGCTGCTTCTTATGATCAAATGATTTGAGATAGTTTTTATCATTAATCAGCCCCAAACCTTATTAAACTTGGCACGGTACTTTTCCCATTCAACCATTTTATCTTTCAACCGATTTAAGATAATCGGTAGCGACAATTTAATACTCTTTCTCGATTCGTCAAGCACATCAAGCCTATATTCACCCAATAAGCTCTCAATGCGCCGTAGATCGTTAGCTGAAAATTAAAATTTGAGGGCCATCAACTTCTGTTGGAAGATGATAAAGGATGATGGAAGACCACATTGACAAGTGTATATATAATTCGTAGCCACTTACAGTTGGTTAGGAATCTGTCAGAGTTTGTTGTGAATTAGTTTGGTTCTATCCATCTCTATTTATATATTCTTCAACCCCTTAATTTACAAAACAATATATTCTAAATTTCAATATCAAATCTGAGATTCGTCTTCCTCATTGCTTTGTTATTCCTTTTCTTTCCCCTTTTATTTTCTTCAACTTCAATGCATGATAAATACTACAAAACTAATTAACTACTAATCAATATACCTTTTAAATGATCTTCAATGTAAAATGTCAAATATAATTTAATTTCATTATTTTCTATATTATTCAATCATTTCTTAACGGGACTTCTTGTTGTCTTGGCCGTTTCCAGCAGCATATCCAATTCAAACCTGAAATAATAATCAGATCAACAATAGCATATCATAAAAACATATTAGATTTGTTTGGTTGTGTTTTAGGAATAAAATTTTAAATTGTGACAATCGATTGATATATATATATAATTGTTTGACGTAATGAGCGAAACAAAAACTAAAGTTCTGAGTTAGTTTTTTTACCTATCGTCCTCACATTTAAACAAGCTTTCTTCATATTGATTTTTAGGCATGTGTTTGGAAGAATAATCCTCACTTTTGGAAGCCACTACAAAAAAATAATATATTTGTAACAGAATTCCGTCCCTAAAGTTCACGTAGCTAACGTAATTCCATTCATAATTCCGTCTCTAATGTCATTAGTAACGGAAAAAGTAGATTTAGAGACAAAAAGTTTTGTTACAAAAATGATTTTTTCTTATAGTGAGCAACACACACCCAATTGTTCTTCAAAACCTCATAACCAATCTTTGTTTTTTTAGCTTGGTATTGTGATCACAAGCTGTTTGATTGAAATTGGAATGCAATGAGTGACATATCAATAATATCAACTAATTCTATTTTATAAATAAATACACCTATGTCATGAGACAGAAGTTAATAACTTGGATAGCGGGTTTCACAGTTGGAGGGATCTTTATCTTCCCCATACAGAATGTGATTCCTGTAAGGCTGAGGAAGCACAACACTCGTCGTCCTCGAGAGATGATGTAAAAAATGAGAAAACTCCACAATAAAGTTAAAATGGTCCCTGAAAAGAATTTAGATCTACAGAAGAAACATTACTCAATCCCATCTGTCAAATTCCGTTTCTTCTATAAAATTTAGACATTATCAAAGAAGAATATGGGGCATAGGAGCGTACCTCACTATAAACCTCATTTGCAAACTTTCTACCCATTTTGTACATATCTAAAATGTCAGCGAAAGCTTTGTACACATTATGATCACGATCCTGAAATGTGGCCTGCAGATAAATTGTTATAAATATCAATCAACGAAGATAGACTAAGGTAGAATTAAGAGATCATGGGTGCTTGAGTTTTATGTGGCTGCATTGTACTTTGATTATTTCTACAAATTCGATTGCTTCATTAAATTCCACTGTATTTTTTTTCAAAAATGATTCTTCCTCAGGTAGGAATTCAATTTGAATTTTTTCTGGCAGAAAGACATTTAAACCCAAAATTAGGTCCCAGTGACCTTCAAATAATTCCTTGGCTTTCAATACAACATCAACCTAGTTTCTACAGAAACTATATATGCAAACATATTATTAGTATTACACCAAAGCTAATGAAAAGTAACGAGAGTAGAGATCAAAAACCTACTTTTGTGCCATAAAATCCCTTAGAACTTTGATAAATTCACATTATTTATCTTCTCTGCTACCAAAACTTCTTCAACAGTTTGTAAATAGTTAATGCCACCCTCCCTTCCCAAAAAATTCTCCAGTCGGGCTGGTAGTTGATGTCAAATAAGTTAAAAATTAATTAAAAAAACACAATTATCAAAATCCTACTATTCTTTCAAAAAAAATTTCCCAAAAATATTAAATCAAACACTTATTTTTTATTTTTAATATTATACTAAAAATTAATTTTACATTCAAAACATCACATCAACACCTATTTATATCACATAATACAACTATTCAAATTCAAAATTTTTACTATTCAAATCTCAATCCAAAATCCAAACCCCCAAACAAACACACCCTTAAAAAAAAGTAAATATGTTATCATATACAATAACATGGATCTTGTGATTGCCAAACGACCGTAGGTTTGGCTTATACAATTGATACATTTAAAAAATGATTAACAATTGATGAAAAATAATAACCTCTTTATCTTTAAAATTCAAATTCTTAATATCATCAAAATCCTACTTGTTTTAACATTGATCTCGACCCAAACATTATTGAGCTTGGCACGGAAAATTTTTCATTAAATTATTTCTTTGCCCCAACCAATTTAATATAATTGGTAACAAAATCTAACATTCTTTCTCAATCCCTCAAGTATTTCAACCCCATGTTCACGCTATAAATGTTCAATTCACCATAGATCTCTTGGCGAAAAATAAAATTTGAGGGCATTGACTTTGAAGAATGATAAATACTACAAAATTAAATAATGATTATTTAATATATCTTTTAAATGATCTTCAATACAAATGAAGCATTACTTTAATTTTATGTACTTCTATTTCCATTAGTTGTTCTCTCTGTATTGTTCATTGGTCCTTCAACACTATTTCCTCTCATCTTTAACATGAAATCCAAATACCATTTACCAAGCAAATCGATTGAAAAAATACTTACGGCACAGGCACGGGGTGCTTGAGTTGAACATCCATGATTCAACTCAATGGATCGTACAAAATAATGAAGCCAACAACACAACCTCCTCAATGGCAGAATAGAATAGAACATTACAACAATAGTTGGTTGTTCTTCTACTATGCAAAAATCGCTCGTCAGAGTAATGACGAAAATCCAAAGCCCTTTAATTTGTAGTTGGCGGAGGCGGGAGTTTAAGAAGAAGTGTTTGATTTAGTTTGTATTGTGAGTAATAAGATTTTATACATGAATAATTGTTTTTAGAAAAAAACATAATTTTGGTCCCAATATAACCAAAATTCAATATAAAAAATTCATTAATTTTAGTCCTATTATAAACAGTTTTAATCAATTTTGGTCCCACCGTTAAAAAACTAACGGAATTTGCTGACGTGATTGTAACGAAGTTGACGTGACAGCTGACCTGGAAAGTACATGGCCATGTACAATTATACACAACCATGTTGTCACACGGCCATTTATATTTCAGTGTACAATTATACACGACCATGTTATTACACAACCATGTTTAATTCTATATGGGCCGTGTACTTTTCTGTTTTGGTCTAAAATTTTAATTTTTTTGTCATATATATATTTTTTTAAAAAAAAAATATTTTGAATTTAGAATAGTTGATATAGTTAAAATAAAAAAAAAAATCAATAGTAATCATAATATAATTAAAATGTATTGTATCAATTTTAATTCAAATATAAAAATTTATAAGATATGTTGTTTTGAAAGATTTTGTTTAAAATTATACTATTTATCAAAAAAATTTCTCTTACAAACATCCAATTACACTATCGAACCTGGGAAAATATTAAGCAAGTAAAACTTGTGGAGGCTTTGGTGAACATAGTCAATATAAAATTGACAATGACTTTAAGACATGATATATATAGCACATTTGGAACAGGAACTATCAGATTCAGGTTTGTTGGGTAAACCTCATATTGAATAAAAAATAAAAGTGATGAAAAGAGAATAGCAAATTGTACATGAGATGATCAAGGGATTGAATACTAGTGGATTTGGCTATAATCCAGTTACCCATTGCTTAGTTGTTGAACCCAAGGTTTGAGATGCATATCTCAAGGTAAAAATGTTAAATAATTATAGTTAGCTATGGAGAATTACTATCTAATCATGTGATATGAAATGGTAAATAAATGAGCTAAAAAATGGCAAAACAAAGTGATTCCTTATTATGAAGAGCTTTGCATTGTATTTTAAAAAGACAAGGCTCAAGGAAATGAAGTTCAAAATTTTATTGAGATGGAAAAAGATGCCGACAAGAAAGAAGAAACTCAAGAATCTGATGGGGAATCATTCGAAGTTGTAAAACCAAGTCAAAGTAAGAAGCTGAAACGCCAAGTTGATCTTATGATTGAAATAGTTCAAGATGCAGTTACGCTCTTTGGTGGTAGAATTGAAAAAATGTCTAAGTAAAATTAGTAAGGGAGTTGAAGGCGAGGATGACCTTGATAACAAGGTTCCATGATCACATCAGAAATCTCAAAGATGCAACACTCAACTAAAATTGATTGAAAAGTTCAGAGCATGTGAAAAAATACGAGCTGATATTGAAAATGTCAAATTATTCTGAGATTTGGATGAGACTGACAAAGAGACTTATATCAAGTATATTTTGGAGTACTGAATGTTAAGTATCATTTGAATATGAACCTTTTTTGGAATATGTTTTGATTGGATTTACATAAGACTATTGTGTTGATTAATTAAATTATGTGTTGTTATGAACTATGTGTTAATACTTGTTCAGTTGATTTGAGAATCTATATAGACTCAAATGTCCTAAAACATTGGATTATGTTGAATGTCCTGAAACATTGCATTCTTGTAGCATTTGGGTGATAGTATTGTGCTGTTATTGTTTTTAATATCTGCTGTTATGTATTTCTATTTGGACTACTGCATTTGTTTGCAATAAGATTGTGTAATTTCTATATCTAAAATATTTTGATTGCAAATGCTTTATTAATTTGATTTTCAAAGGTGTTTTAATTCACTTGAATAAATATATTTTTGTTGACTATTTGAATGTCTACTTTAGTACTAATATTATTTAAGATTTTCCATACTTATTTCTGAAGTTTATATGTTCTAGTAGATTGTGTAATAAATTAAGTTTTGGATTTTTTATTTTTATTTTTATAAGGAAGGAATCTGCATCCACTGTAAAAAAAAAAAAAAAAAAATTAAACTTGAATTTTAGACATGCATAATGTTTGTTTAGTTTAATTGTATTGACTTGAGATGTTTTAAATTAAATGATTATCTAACAAATTAGATGCTCTCAATTCATAACTGTCCATTTATGATCTACTAGTTCTGCAAATGTTAGCCTAGTATATAATTACAATTATTTAATTACTGCAGGATGATATTTTATTTGTAAATGTTAATTATTTGATTTGATTTTTTTTTAAAAAAAAATTAAAATGCATATGCTATTAGAGAAAAGATATAATATAATTTTAATTTATCAAAATAAATAAAAAAAATTTTAGGACAATTATGTCGTTTAAATCCTTCAATAATATGCAAAATAAACATGTTTGAGAAATATAAATATATAATAATTTAACTAGATTGGATTCCAAATCGTATTAAATGTAAATTCTATCCATGTAAATTCTTCTGTAAACTTTAAAAAAATAATTTTTGAACAAAAAAAAAAAACTTTTAGTCGGCCAATAAAAATAATTAAAAGAGTAATTTAATTGGAATATATATTTTTTAAAAACTATTAATATTATATACACATCGTTAATACGTAGCTCATCGTGAATGCTATTTATTATTACACGAATCAATCACGTCGACAAATCTTAGTATAATTCTTGGCCATGTATATATGTTACTCTTGCCTCTATATATATATATATATATATGATATGTTGAAATAAAATGTAGACAGCACAATATTTCTCTCTCTCCGTATTTACTATGCTGCACGTATTTACTATGCTGCACTTATAATACTTCAACCCATCAATTACATCACATTCATATATATATTTGCTCACGATATACATATACATATATATTCTATACTTACCAATATTAATATACTATTTATTATATAACACGTTATCAGCATGAAGGTTCTTGCATATTTTATTTTTGGTAAGTTTTATTATACTATCTATATTATCTAGTTTCAACACTATGAAAAATCTTGCAAAATTTTTTTTTAAACCTCTGTCTCTCACCGGCAATAATTTTTTATCTTGGTCCCAAGATGTAGAAATGCATTTGGTTTCTATGGGCCTTGTTCATACAATTGCCAGTGAAAATGCGCCTACAAGCCAAGATCGGGCTAAGACTATTATTTTCATTCGTCACCATCTAGACGTTCCTTTACCGTCCGAATATTTGACGGTGAAAGATCCACTTGATTTGTGAAATGAATTGAGGAAGAGATTTGGGCACTTGAAATATCTCACTCTCCCAAAAGCCCGACATGATTGGCTTAACATGCGATTGCAGGATTTTAAAACTGTTACAAAATACAACTCTGCTATCCATCAGATTACATCTCAGTTGAAACTCTGCGGAGAAATTGTTACTGAGAATGATAAATTGGAGAAGACTCTTTCTACCTTTCATGCTTCAAATGTCGTGCTGCAACAGCAGTATCGTGAGAAAAATTTTCAAAAGTACTCACAGCTCATTGCATGTCATTTATAGCTGAACAAAATAATGAGCTACTGATGAAAAATCATCAGTCCCGGCCCACTGGTTCCAGTCCGTTCCCTGAAGCGAATGTGATATTTTCTGAACAAGGCCGAGGACGTGGTAAAGGCCGTGGACGTGGTCGCGGTCGTGAGAGTCAACGTGGTCGATATACCCCTTACAATCATCGCGGTATTGACATTAACAGGAAGTAGAGTAAACCTCAATATGGGGATATAGCCGAAAAGGCTAAATAGGGAAAGAGACAAATCGGCATTTGTAATCGGTGTGGCATTGAAGGCCATTGGGCCAATACCTGCAGAACAACCAAACACCTAGCCGATCTTTATCAAGCCTCACTGCAAAAAAAAAAGGGGAAAGAGGTCGAGACTAATCACGTTGATAACGATGACGACCCTGATGATGATCTTCTGAATTACGACACAACGCATCTTGATATAACAATTTTTTTCGTAGATCCAACAAACCCCCAGTGACAGACATTCTATGTCATTTTATATTTTGTAATATTTAAATTATCGCATATTACTTTTTCGTATGCATTTTGTAATACACATATCTGCCTTTATTAATACGGTGTTTATTTATATTTGAAGGTTAAATGGATGTCAATCAAAATGATGCAAATATGTGTTTCATTGAAAGTGCAACGACACATACTATATTGAAACGCGAAAAATATTTCTCCCATTTGAAAAGGGAAAGAATGAATGTCAATACAATAAGTGGCAGTGCAAAACTAATTGAAGGCTCTAGAGAAGCCATTATATTTCTCCCCGCGGGGACGAAAATTATGATACAGTATGCACTGTTGGCCACTAAAGCTCGAAGAAATTTACTGAGCTTTCATGACATTCGGAAAAATGGTTATCATATTGAAACTATAAGTGATATTGATGGTGAATTTTTATTGATCACTAATATCATTGATAAAAGGAAATACATCATTGAGAGATTACCCTCACTCTCTACTGGTTTATATTATGCCAGATTAGGTGTTGTTGAAACACACCTCACGGTAGATCAAAAGATTACCGATTTTCAAATATGGCATGATCGCCTTGGGCCTCCTGGCAGTATAATGATAAGGTGAATAATTGAGAATTCGCATGGCCATTCGTTAAAAGGTCAAAAAGTGTTAAACTCAAATGAGTTAACATGTGTTGCCTGCACTTAGGAAAAATTGATAACTAGGCCATCGCCAGCTAAAGTAGGTATTGAATCACCTATATTTTTGAAAAAAATACACGGAGATATATGTGGACCAATAGACCCACCGTGTGGGCTATTTAAATATTTTATGGTGCTTATTAATGCATCTACGAGATGGTCCCATGTCTGTTTATTATCTACTCGCAATGTGACATTTGTGAGATTGCTTGCCCAAATTATTAAATTACGGGCACAATTCCCCGATAATCCAATTATGACTATACGTCTTAATAATGCTGGTGAATATACATCGAATGCATTTGATGATTATTGCATGTCGATTGAAATTAATGTAGAACACCCAGTTGCTCATGTTCATACACAAAATGGTCTGGCAGAATCACTTATTAAAATATTGCAATTGATTTCTAGACCATTACTGATGAGGTCTATGTTGCCCGTTTCAACTTGGGGGCATGCAATCTTACATGCATGAACACTCATAAGAATGAGGCCGACAAGCTATCATAGCTATTCCCCTATGCAAATAGTGTTTGGTCACGAACCAAATATATCTCATCTACGTATTTTTGGGTGTGCTGTTTATGTTCCTATTCCACCCCCAAACGTACAAAAAAATGGGTCATCAACGTAGATTGGACATTTATGTCGGATATAAATCGCTATCAATTATAAAATATCTTGAACCTATGATGGGTGATTTATTCACTGCAAGATTTACAGATTGCCATTTTGATGAATTATATGTTCCGACATTAGAGGGAGACAGAAATGAACCAGAAAGGGATATTGATTGGAAAATTCCATTGAATTTTTATGATCCTCGTACAAAGCAGTGTGAACTAGAAGTTCAACGCATTATACATTTGCAAAATATTGCAAATCAATTACCGGATGCATTCAATAACTCGAGTAAAGTTACTCGATCATATACATTCAAGCTGCTAATGCTCTGGCTAAAAATAATTGTCCCTGATGGACAAATTGGAAGTGCTAATGAATCGGCGACACGCTTGAAGCGTGGTAAACCACTTGGTTCCAAAAATAAACATCATCGAAAGAAAAAGATGAATTAATAATGATAATCATGAAAATATCATGAATGACATTGATAAACCTTAATCTAATGAGGAAGTCAACCCTGAAATAATTGCTCCAGAAGAACACGATCTTGAAGAACATAATGAGATTATTGAAAACTCAATTAACTATGTTACTTTAAGAAAATGTTGAAACCGTAAAGAGACAATTATTGATAATGCCTTCGCATACAATTTAGCACTTGATATAATTGAAGAAAACGAGGATCCAGAGCCAAAATCGGTTCATGAATATCGGCAAAGAAATGACTGGCCAAAATGGGAACATGCTATTCAATCAGAGCTTGATTCATTAAACAAAAGGGAGGTCTTCGGACCAATTGTTCAAGCAGCAGATGATATAAAACCAATTGGATACAAATGGGTGTTTGTACGAAAAAGAAATGAACATAATAAAATTGTGAGATATAAAGCCCGTTTGTAGCTCAGGGATTTTCACAGAGACCTGGAGTAGATTTTGATGAAACATACTCTCCAGTTGTCGATAGAATAACATTTAGATACCTTGTGAGCCTAGCAGTGCGAAAAAAACTCGATATGCGTTTTTTAGACGTAGTTAATGCATATTTTTGTGGATCCTTGGATACTGATATTTATATGAAAGTTCCTGAAGGATTCAATATGCCTGAAGCATACAAATTAAACCCAAGAGAATCATATTCCATCAAATTGAAAAAGTCATTGTATGGACTTAAACAATTAGGGCGAATGTGGTATAAGCGTTTCAGTGACCGCTTAATAAAAAAAAGGTTATACTAATGATCCAATATGCCCATGCGTCTTTATCAAGAAAAATGGATCAAAATTTGTCATTATTGCAATATACGTTGATGATTTCAATTTAATTGAAACTCCAGAAGAGATCCAAATTACAATTGAATATCTAAAGAAAGAATTTGAGATCAAAAATTTTGGAAAGACTAAATATTGTCTGGGATTACAAGTGAATCATGTTAATAATGGAGTATTTATCCATCAGTCCACATATACCCAAAAAGTATTAAAATAATTTTATATGAATAAATCTCACTCTCTAAGTACACCAATGTGGTCAGATCCCTTGATCTCAGTAAAAATCCATTTAGCCAAGAAAAAAGAATGAAGAAATACTTGGCCCCGAGGTATCATATCTCAGCGCTATTGGCGCATTAATGTACCTTACAAATTGTACCAGACCAGATATATTTTTTCAGTGAATCTATTGGCCATGCACAAAGCGCTATTGGAATGGTATCAAACACATTCTTCGTTATCTTCAGGGGACTCATGACCTCGGTTTATTTTATTCGAGTGAATCTCAAAATGAGTTAATTGGTTATGCTGATGCTGGTTATCTGTCTGATTCACATAAAACAAAATCTCCAACTGGTTATTTATTTACTTGTAGTGGAACCGCAATCTCTTGGAAATATGCTAAACAAACAATAACAACAACTTATTCAAACCACGCTGAGGTTTTAGCATTTCACAAAGCCAGTCGTGAATGCGTTTGGTCAAGGTCTATGGTTCACCATATTCAGAAAAATTGTGGCTTGATTTTTTATGATGTATTACCTCCTACAATATTATTTGAAGATAATGCAACTTGTATAGCTAAATTAAAGGGAGGATATATTAAAGGCGTTCGGACAAAACACATATCTCCGAAGTTCTTTTTCACTCATGATCTTCAGAAAAGTGATGAAATTAATGTACAGCAAATTCGATCGTCTGAAAATTTTGCAAATTTATTTACACATAACTAATACGTAGCTGCTCATCGTGGATGCTATTATTATTACACGAATCAATCACATCGACAAACCTTAGTCTAATTTTTGGCCATGTATATGTTACTTCTGCATATATATATATATGCTGACTATATATATACATATACATATATATTTTATACTTACCAATATTAATATACTATTTATTATATAACAATTAATGAATAAATCAAATTTTTTGTTTCATTCTTAAATTATTCTGGTCGATCTCATTGTTAAATACCATCTACTCTAAAACCCTAAATCAATTTTCATTTTCATCTTCCTCTTGGGAGCCCAATTTCTTACCTATTGTTAAACCCTAATCCAAATCCGTTCTGTAATTTCCTTCATTCATTTCTTACAACCATCACTTCTATGTCCACTGAACATTTTCTCATGTAGTTTAAAGCAGTACGCTGCATCTCATTGTAAGGAGGAGGGCAAAAGGACAGGGTAGAACGAATTCCAGTTCTATTGTATTGTTGCCGCTTTCTGAAAATGTCGCTTCAATTGCCTTATACTGGATTCTTCCCTGCAAGTTGTTTTCCCACTGTAAGTTGCAGCAGTCAATTCTGTTAACTCATTTTGTTCGATCCAAGTTCTACGAGTTTTGGCAGCTTATTTCTACCTGTTTTAGGGATTTTACAGAAGATCATGCGTGCGCGGGTTATGGAGCAGAAACAGAGTCAGAAAATTAGAGATGGTTGTCAAAGCTGGTCCCAAAAGAATCGAATTTGACACGACCTGTCGAGTTGCTTTACTTTCTGGTATCAATAAGCTTGCCGATGCTGTTTCTGTGACTTTGGGGCCTAAAGGTGAGTGTAAAACTTATGCTTTGTTAGTATTTTGTTTTGATGCTGGGTTGAGTTTCTTGGTTGAAGCTGAACCTTGTTTGTACTTCTTAGATTAAAGGGCATGCCTTGTTAGACCATTTGACACGATGTTCATTACCCTCATGTTGCAATATGGTGGATGTCATGTTTCTGGTGGCGACGATAATTGCATAATTTAGCATCGCATACTCCATAATTTCAGATAATTGAGAAGCTTGAGAAAAAAGAAGCTTAGTTTCATGCCTGGTGTTTATTGAGTTGTCTGTTTTTGTTAATATCTTGCAGGGCGAAATGTGGTTCTCTCTGAATCGGGTACTCTCAAAGTGATAAATGATGGTGTCACTATTGCTCGAGCCATAGAGCTCTCCGACACAATTGAAAATGCTGGAGTTCTGCTAATCCAAGAGGTTAAACACTATTGCCATACAAATTTTGTGGATTTAATTTTTTTAATACTATGCTGATGCCATTCATGCCTGTTGCAGGTTGCAACTAAAACGAATGGTTCAGCTGGCGATGGTACAACCACTGCAATTATATTAGCTCGGGAGATTATAAAATTTGGATTGGTGGCTATCAATAGTGGTGCTAACCCTGTCTCTATGAGAAATGGGATGGATAAAACCGTAAAAGCGTTGATAAATAAATTGAAGGAGAGAAGTTTTCCTGTAGAAGGAAGTGATGACATTAAAGGTTGTGTTAATTTTTTGTTCTTTATTCATCTAGATTATTTTCTTCGATTGCACTCAACATTTTTTCCCCCTACAGCTGTGGCATCGTTGTCTGCTGGAAATGATGAGTATATTGGGAACTTAATTGCTGAAGCTATTGATAAAATTGGTCCTGATGGAGTGATGTCAATTGAATCTTCTTCATCATCTGAAACCTCTGTGATAGTTGAAGAAGGAATGAAGGTAATATGTATAAAGCAATCTGTATCTTTTACAGAAATGGATATAATCTCAATATTACATACTCTTTACTGCCAAATCCACATGATGTTTTCCATCTCGTGGATGGGATTTAGCTGAGAGTCATATTTGTGAATTTTGGGAAGACTGGATAATAGGTAGTATTAAATAATTAGGCTAGTTTCTTGCATTGTTATTGTTACTGCTACTTTATCTCTTTTTTGAGATTATGGAGATTGTTAATTCCAAAATTTGAAGGCTTGAGAATTTCAGTTCATATACAACTATCTGAGATAGAATCATCTCCTCAAACCAAATGTGATAGTTCATTTAATTGTTCATTCTTTAGCCTTACTGTTTTTCCATGGAAGTAATTTCTTTCCTGTTGAGTTTTCATTATTTTTCTTAATTTCTCTTCAGGCAATCTTTTCTTACAGATAGATAAGGGGTACATGTCTCCACACTTTGTCACCGACAAGGACAAGCCTATTGTGGAATTTGAGAGTCCCAGAATTTTGGTGACCGATCAAAAGATATCCTCTGTGAAAGAGATTGTTCGTTTGCTGGAAAAGGCTACACAATTGAATGTTCCTTTGTTGATTATTGCTGAGGATATATCACGGGAGGTGCTGGAAACACTAGTTGTGAATAAAATGAAGGGTGTACTTAATATTGCTGTTGTAAAATGCCCAGGGATTGGAGGTGGGAAAAAAGCTTTATTACAAGATATTGCGCTTATGACAGGTGAGCTGAATTGCTAATTTTCTACTCTGCATAATTATCTTACCTTGAAGAATGGGAAGAAATCTGAGTGTTTATTTTCTTCTATGCCTTGATTTCCGGAAAATTTTTCATATTGTATGGACATAAAATATATATATAAAAATTACACTAGGACAAGTAGCCTTGTATATGGTGAAACCACCACATATGTGTTTAGATATGACTACATTTAATTTTGACTTAGCAAATTCCTGTTGACATTCTCTAATTAGGTGCTGATTTCATTTCCGGAGATTTGGGCCTAAGCCTTGACACTGCAACTTCTGATCAGCTTGGTATTGCTCGGGTGATAACCATAACAAGCAATTATACCACTATAGTTGCGGACCCTTCAACTAAAGCTGAAATACAGGCAAGAATTATGCAGATAAAGAAGGATCTTTCTGAGACAGATAGCACGCATCTGGCAGAAAAGCTTAGGGAGCGGATTGCAAAGCTTTGTGGTGGGGTGTCTATAATTAAGGTTGGGGCTCATACTGAAGTTGAACTTGAAGATCGGAAACTAAGAATTGAGGATGCAAAATGTGCCACCTTTGCTGCCATGGCTGAAGGTGTGGTACCTGGCGGTGGGGCTACTTATGTACATCTTTCCAAGGAAATACCTGGAATAAAGAATGCCTTCCAGGACCGTGATGAGAAGATTGGTGCAGACATTATTGGAATGGTTTGTTGCCTGTTCTTATCCTCTTGTTAGAATGTTTGTTAATCTATCATTCCTGAAAATTAAGAAAGTGCTAAGATGAATTTACATTTTCTTGAAATGGGAGAGCGCCAGAGCGGTAATTGACATGGTTTTTCTTAGACATAATGGTATAACAAGTTGGCACAAATTCACCTCAAATACAGTTATTAACGAGAAGTGTATTTTATGGTTCTGTTGAAGTTATTAAGATCTCTTCTTTGGATTGAATATCAGGCACTGCTTGCACCTGCAAAATTGATTGCAGCGAACGCAGGTGTCGATGGAGATGTAGTCGTGGAGAAAATAAAAGACTGTGATCCAAGAGTTGGTTATAATGCAATGAGTGGGAGGTATGAAGATCTGATGGCTGCTGGAGTAATTGATCCATGTCGTGTATCAAGATGTGCACTGGAAAATGCTGTTTCTGTTGCTGGTATGATCCTTACTACGCAGGCCATACTGGTGGAGAAGACGAAGAAAGCTAAGCCACCTGTTCCTCATATTCCTGGCATCTCTTCCTAAACACTAATGGAATTTACAAGTCTACAGGATCTCCTACAGCCAAGTTATTATGGTAAGCAAAAAATTCATTCAGTCTTTGTAGAATCATCATATAGATCGAATTGCTATAGGATTTCATGAAAAGAAGAAAACTTGGAGAGGAATGGCATATGGTTGCACGAATGGAAGCACATCCGGAAGACATTCATTCGGACATTGGATAGAGGTATTGCTATGGCGTTTAATATGATTATACACAGACATTGCCATTTCAAGTTTCATTACGTGGCGTTGGATTTGATTAAGCCTAGCTAACAACACACTACTATAGGAGAAATTATTTTTTTCCGGATACATTCTTGGTTATTAGTTTTGTAACATGTTTTTGCATATCGTGTTTTCATAATATTTGTTATTTCTGCTATTCATATGTGGATTCGTCATGCCCCCGATTTTCTGCCTAATGAAGCTTTGATTGTCCTGACTAGAGTAATTGCGCTATAAGTAGTGTTGTTGGCGTTCGAAGTAGATTACCATTAAGAATGTCATAGAAGTGCTGCACACATCCGAAACTGATCTTCTGACGTGTACATTGTAAATAACATATCCCTCCATCCATAAGCGCCTTAACTCAATGGATAGTATTTGAAAGGAGCCTTTGAGTTTTGTAGTAGACTAATAAATAATAGTATTTTATTGGTGAGTGGAAATCTGTAAAAGATTTTGATATTTTTGTTTTTTTTTTACTTTGTAAGTGTGTAATAGTATATTTGTAATTTAGATAAAAATTAAAAATATTTTGGTATTAGTGAATGAATATTTTTTCTAAAAGTGGAAAATAATAAAAATGGGACTTTGTATTTTCATCGAAATGTTTTTTTTTTTTCGTCAAAATGTAATAGATGACTTTGAACATATTGTTAATGGGAAACAATTAAGATGAGATAGTAAAATTGGGGCTAGAGTTGGAATTTGATTTTTTATAATTTGAAAAGAAATTTCTAAGCTATTATACTGCTGGTGGAAATTTCTAAGCTATTATACATACATACATGTTTTAATGAATTAATATATATATATATATATATATATAATATTTGATGAGACTGGGTGAGGCTGGTCTAAGATAGGGTTGGCGATCCTCTCCCGTAAAATCGATATTTTGTTTTAGACTAATTTTTGAGGTTTAACATATAAATTTATATAAAACTATTATAAGACCATAATTAAGGTATTTATAAATATCATAATTATTAGAATTAAATTTTAATCCCTGATTGCAATTTGGACGTTATAGAAATATAATTTCAATTAATAAACATAAAATGGAGAAAGACATAAAACATCACGTATCTTATTTGGGTATGTTGGGAGGTTCACTCTTACATGGACTATCTTTTTGGCTCAATTTTTAAATTCACTTGTAAATCATGTTAGGGTGAAGCACAACAGATTATGCCCTAGATCAATTCTAAACGCCGCCACTCCTGTAAACACACTGCGCAGTTTCAGAAAATTGACGACTCTTGCCTCGTTGACCGTTGGATTGGGGTGAAATTTGAACACAAGGTTCGTAACACTCTGCTCTTGGTTTTTACCGGTTGGATCGTTGTTTAGATGTTTGTAACTTAGAGTTATTTGAGGCAGACGGTAGCATTTGTTTTTGCAGAAGAATTTGGTCGTTTCCAATTATTTTTGTGTTGTTGCTTTATTTGATTGGTTTGGGATTGTTTGTGCATTGTTTTGTGCTATTAATCCTTTTGCACCCGACAGGTAATGATCTCATTGTTCTTCGTGATACTGAAGTTATTAATCATGTGTCCCATGAAAGCTCATGGATCGTTGATAATGGTGCTACCTTACATGTTAGACCAATGAAGGAATTCTTCACCCTACACTTACGGTGACTTTGGAATATACAACACGACCCATAATTGTGCCACCGGACCCGGCATCGAGCTGACCTGAAATGGCCGGCTTTCGTTAAAATGGCCAAAATATTTTGTTTAAAACACTCTCCAAATGATATACTTCATTCGTCTCATTTGAAATGAGTTCTTCGGAGCTTTTAAATAAATTAAAATATAATAGTATTTTATTGATTAATAGAAATACGTAAGAAGTTTTGATATTTTTGTCTTTGACTTTATATATTAAATAATGATACGTGCAATGGTATAATTCCAATTTAAATAAAAGTCAAGAATATTTTAATATTAATATATTATTATTTTTATTTAAAAAAATACTTTTGAACGAGAAAAAAAAAAAAAAAGAAAACTTTAAATTAAGATGAAATGAATAATAAGAAATATTATTGATAAATAGTACTATAAAAAATTTGAAAAATATTCATATAAACTGACCAGACTCGTAGCATATCAACTATATAGAGATAAAATAAGACAGAAGGAGATAAAACTTAAATAATGTGTGCCTTATTCCATTAATTGCATCTCTATTTATAAACGAATGCAGCCAACTCATAAGTGATCAAATACATAATTATAAATATTTTTTGACACGTCATAATAACCACGTGTAAGCCATGCACTCTAATTGTGTGTACATATATTAGGCTTTAATTTTATTTATTTATTTATAGTATTTAGTATTTTTTAATCTTTTTTTCTTTTAAAAAAAATAAAAATTTAATACTCATTTTTATTTTTATTTTTTATACAAAATAATATGCTATATAGTTTTAAAGGTTTGTCCAAGTTGAGCTAATTAATTGGTTTGTTAGTGGTTGTTATTCGATCAAAATGTGGATAAATACACAAATTAAATACATTTTGAATTTGATTATTTCATATTTTTGTGTATAAAAAGGAGTATATATCTCAATAATTTTATTTCTAAATAAATCCAAAAAAATATAAAATATAAACCGCAGCTATAGAGAGACTCTCTGTGTGTTCTCTGACTGATAGAAAAAGTATCAATGGCTGAAAATGGTGTCAATAACTTGGGCAAGGAAGTCGGAGATCATCGCTGTGTTGTCGGTAACTTCCCTCCAAGTCTATGGGGTGATTTGTTCCTCAGATATACCCCTAATGATCAGGTTTAATCTACTTTTTTTTACTATAAAAGGTAAATAGTGCGAGAATAATATTGCAAAATAGTGTGCTTTATATCCCATGTTAGAAAAAGTATTGGAACTGTCTTACCATATAAAGTTGAAGAAAAACTCTACTTATCGTCAATTGATTTTAAGTTAGAGTCTGAATCTTTATTAACACGTATTAGAACCATGGTGTCCAATATTGAAATATACGGCATTGGAGAAAAGGTTAAATTGAATATATTGATTCAACATATAGTGCGAAAATATACTTGAAAACTTACAATATGCACAAGTTTATCCAAAGGAAATAAAATTGTTAATTTTTATCTATTTATTTAGTTATTGTTTGCTAACAGCTCATGCAAGAATATTCGAAAGAGATTGAAGCGTTGAAGGATAAAGCTAGGAATATGCTAACAATTCCTACGAGTTTCAACAACATCGTCGAAACAATGGACCTAATTGACACATTCGAACGCCTAGGCTTGTCTTACCACTTTGAAGACGAGATTAATGACAAGTTGGAAAATTATTTCAATCTTGATGTGGATTATAAGAATGAAACCTACGATCTACGTACCGTAGCACTTCACTTTCGATTATTCAGAGCGCACGGCTACCATGTGTCCCCGGGTATGTTTTTAGTAGTATCTTTTAAATTTCTTTTACATTATGGTAAAAATATAGCTAAGTTAAAATTTACCTACCCTTAAAATGCAAAAGTGTCTCTCCGTCCATTAATAATAGATATATTTTTCTATTTAGGTCCTTCATTTATTTATTTAGTTAGTGTGGAGCTCATAATATTAATAACATATCTTATCATCGGGTGTGGACATGTAGTGTGTTTGTTTGAAGGTTTGGATTTTGGATTAAGATTTGAATATTAAAAAATTTAAATTTGAATAGTGGTATGGTGTGATATAAATATGTATTGATGTGATATTTTGAATATAAAGTTAATTTTTAGTATAATATAAAAAATTAAAAATAAGTGTTTGATTTAATATTTTTGAAGAATTTTTTTTTTTTTTTTTTTTATGAATAATGGAAATCTAACAAAATTCTTCAAACAAACACACAAAAACCTTTACGAACTTATACACTACTTATCAAATATACAACAGTATTATTCTTTAATCATTGTACTAACAATAATATATATATATACACACACTTAATAGATGCAGCATTTGTTATGTTTCTTTTGCAAAAAAATCCGAGGTTTCTACTATTTGGACTCTGAGTTTCTCGAAAAAAATATATATTTTTTCTCACAAAATATCCCATCATATATTATTTTAATAGCAAACTCAAACTAAAATTTTTCCAAACCCATCAAAAGAAACACACCCAATTAATGAAAAAGGTTAATTTGATTCATCTAAGAATGTTTTTCAACAATTCATTAACTGATCAAGTAACTTTATTTCCGGAAAATTAGATGTTTTTAGTAAATTCAAGGATGGTGAACGGAATTTCCAAGAAGTCCTAAAGAATGATGTGAGGGGTTTGTTAAGCCTATACGAAGGAGCTCATCTACGAGTACATGGAGAGGACATCCTCGACGAGGCTCTTGTTTTTGCAACATCAAATCTCAAGTCCGCAACAAAAAATCTCGATTCACCCCTTAAAGAAGAAGTCGAGCATGCTCTAGCGCAGCCATTGCATTTAAGCATTCCTAGACTTGAAGCGAGGAAGTTTATCTCAATCTATAAAAAACGGGAAAAAAAGTACAACATCCTTCTTAGATTTGCGAAATTGGACTTTAATTTATTGCAGATGTTTCACCGAAAAGAGCTCTATGAAATCTCAAGGTACTTTCATGATATATATATAAATATATTCGATGTATGTATCCATAAATTTTTTTAAACTAACAATCATCGATCAGGTGGTGGAAGGAATTGGATATTCCGACGAGAGTTCCATATGCTAGAGACAGAGTAGTCGAATGTTATTTTTGGACAATAGCGATGCATTATGAACCTCAATATTCTCATTCCCGAGCTTTACTAACAAAAGATCTTGCAGCTGCAATAACCTTAATCGATGATACATATGATTCTTATGGTACAATAGAAGAACTTGATCTTATTACCGAGGCTATTCAGAGGTAAAATAATGATAATCTTCTTTCTTTGTCTTTAAAGGCCTTGTTGGCTTTGTTTACATACATATTATTTAAAGTTTTGAGACCGTGATTTTTTTTTATTTTTTTTTTTACAAAAAATAACATCAAATATTTAAAATTTTACTGTTTTAAAAATTTCTCAAAACTTTAAAAAATATTTGTCTAAACAAAGTGTAAATATTCAAATAAATTATTAGTCATATATTTGGGGCGTGTTTACTTTGTAAAGTAGAAGTATAATATCTATTATAATTTTAATATATTATAGAATAATGAGATTAATTAATATCATTTTTTTTTAATTAAATGTAAATTAATATAGACTTTTCTTGCAAATATTACTTATGATGAATTGATTATAAGATTATTATGCGGGACATTGATTAGTTCTTGATTTTTATAATATAAATCAAACGAGTGAGTATATTTTATAAAATAACATCATTCAATCTAATCATCGAAAGTAATTTTAACAAATTGTCTTGGATTTTATTTTTTATTTTTTAGATGGGATATTAACGAGATCGATCGAACACCGGACTACTTTAGATCATCCTACAAAACACTTTTGGAAATGTTTGAACAATTTGAAGAAGAATTAGAAGCTAAAGGTCAATCTTATGGAATATACTATGCCAAAGAAACAGTAAGGATGTTCTTTTTAAGTTTCTCTCTCTATTTATCTTTTTTTTATTATTATTATTATTATTATTATTTTTTTTTTATTATTATACTTTGAAACTTCATAATTCCCAATAAAAGTATACATATTTTTTGACACAAAATATCACATTCAAATACTATTTGAATTAAAATATGAAAAAAAATCAATACTTACAAAAAACAAAAACTAAAATGGTACCTAATATTTATAGAAAAAGTTATAATAACTTTCAGTAACTATTTAACGTAGCGGTTTACATATCGAAAATTTTCGAAGTATTTTATGGAATTTTTTTTTCTGTGATTAATTTAAGTTGGGGCGCTAATAACAAATTTTTCTTTTTTTCAACATTTTAAATTCTTACCAATATTGTTATGATATAATTTTTGTGACCTTTTAAGGTCGTGACATAAATAACTAAAATATCTGCAATTTTTTTTTTTTTTGTTTGTTTTAAATTGTGAAATGCTAATTGCAGCTATTTAAAGGAAGAGCAAAAATAATCAATAATCTTGTTATATATATATATATATATATATATAAAGTATTAAATAGTCGGCAATATCTTTATTTCTTATATATATTGTAATTGAAGTATTTTTTGTGATTTTTAAAATCATAACATAAGTACCGAAATATTTTCAACATCTTGGTTTTGAATATGTTTTGATGAATTTTTTTTGTCACTATTTAAAGTTATATTATAAATTATTTTATATACTTTTTATTCTATTTAACTAATGAAGGTTCATATACTTCATATATTAATGTAACCAATTATAAGTTTAATTGTTTTTGAACTCTATACTATAGCCAATTTTACAACTTTCTTTGCTGGTGCTATCCATGAACAGCTTAAAGAACTAGTGAGGGCCTACAATGTTGAGGCTAAATGGTTCATTGAGGGAAACTTGCCAACATTTGATCGATATCTAAGTAATGCTACAGTTACTTGCACCGCTTACCATTTTCCAATCGCTGCAATATTAGGAACAAAATTTGCAACGAAAGAAGCCTACGAATGGATGATGTCGAAACCAAAGGTACTAAAGGCCTGCAGCACAATCTGTCGTCTCATTGATGATGCAGCTACATACGAGGTATGAAAATTTCACTATCCTATAAAAGTAATTTTGGCGAGGAAATCACTGTTCCAAATTTGTGTCAACCACAACTTTAAGCGCACCAAAATAACTTTTATAGGGTAGTGTTTGTAGATATGACGATTTCTCAAAATACACATTTAGCATGGTTTAATAAATATGGATTCGAAATAATCACAGCTTATTTTAGGATCCAATTGTCAAATCTTGCCAATATTTCTTTATTTTTTTTTAAAAAATTTCGTCTTTTGTGTTCATGTTCATGTTCGAAATTTGACAAAATCAGCATGGTTCATCAGAATCGATCCAACGAGTCAAAGTCACAAGAATTCCATGACGTTTACTGGTTTTTGGCCATCCAAGATCATTTAGGGCTTCAAATGGTTTATTTTTTAAATTTTTTACTTTCCAAATATTTAAAAAAATTTGCAATATTCTTATTTCGGGTTTATTAGTTTGGACTTTAGAGTTTCTCTCTATAAATACCTTAGCTTTTCCTTTCGTAAGTATTTTATTTTATTTTCTGATCTTAGCGCCCTTTTGCGATATTTAAAATGATTTATTGTATCAATTATAAGTATCGACATTTTAAATAGGTTGAAAGAGAAGTCAGGGGCCACAGTGCTACTGGCATTGGATGTTATATGCACAACAAAGGCGTCGCAGTTGAAGAAGCTATAGCTAAATTCTATGAGATGGCTAGTAATGCTTGGAAGGACATGAATGAGGAGCTACTCAAGCCAACTACACACTCGAGGGATGTTCTGATACGAATCTTGAATCTTGCACGTCTAGTTGAAGTTACTTACAAGGATAGTCAAGATGGATATACACAACCGGAGAAGGTTACAAAAGCACACATCATGGCGTTGTTCGTGGATCCCGTCAATATTTAAGATTTAGATTCATCTCAATATTGTGTTCCATATGTTTCTTTGTATTTGTGTGATCAAACATAACAAACACTTATATATGCTTATGTGAGAATAAGAGCTGGGAATGCTCGTGTATCCTGACTGCAATTTATATGTATGTTTGAGTGATTTATATCCTTTTACAGTAGTGAGATTATATTAAAGATAATTTTATACAATGCATTCGGCCATGGTTTCCAAGTTCTCTTTCTTTCTTCCATAGTCAAAGAAATCCAAGGATTATTGTTCTTCTTGCCATTGTTAATGAAAAGATCATCATCAAAGGCATAGCCTATCTAAGCTATCATTGCTTGTGAATATATTTTTTATTTTGAGTTTTGCTGTAGTTAGTCTTGACAATTTGCTTGTATATAATGAATTTGATGTCTTATCCATAAGTTAGAATTTTGTTCTCTAACCGCTAAAGCATCAATAGATTTTCACCAAAGGGACATGGGAAGATTGAATTAGGAAATATATTGAGTGGATATGAGTGATAGATATAGGAAAAACGATGGTATGTTGTTTATTGCCAAATGCACATCATGCATTCGAGATATACTAGAATTCAAATCAAGTCCATTGCCTTCATTTGAGACCAAAATTCATAATTTGGTGCAATAAGATTATAAAAACATTAGGGAATGACACATCCTTGTACCATATTTGGCCATTTTGGATATGGATATTTACTCATTTAATTAAATGTTTACTTGCTATTTAGTCAACATAAATTAACCATTGATGTGTTCTAGATTTAGACTATTTGAACGAGAATGTTAACTACTATATAACACTCAACCATTGTTGACATCCAACTCAATACCCCGCTACGACATGGAAAAAACTCAAGATAAGACAAAAATCTACAAAAGTTTGATGGCGACTTCATATAATCGACTGACTAGTCAACTACCACTTCACTATAATTCGATATTCCATATGCAAAGAAGCATGAAGCATTGTTGTTAAAACACTTCCAAACGATAAATTCTTGTTTTGTCACAAAATATGTTATGAATCACATGTCAAGTATGAGAAAAACATGTCACCAATATATATTGTTTTTGGAACTTCGTTGTTTGAAATCAGATCTTGATTAGCAAATCACATCAACATTCTCATGTATAATGTAATAGAATTAAGCATTGCTCATAAATATTGGAAAGATGATAAATATTTATGTAAATAGAATTGTGTATACTAAACATATTTTTTCTCCCGTTGGTACTTTACCGTAACATCCTGGCCCGCAAGCCATGCAGACTGGGCGTGTCGAGAATAGATTGGTCTTACAAGTCAACATGAGTTATTCCAGTTTTTTTTTTTTACTCAAATTACTTTATAGCAAGCACGCTTGACTTTATAGTACTTACCGTAGGATTTCCGAGAAATATGTGGCATTCTATATAAATAGTCTGTTCAATTTATTTAATTTATATTCAATTGGGGTACCACACTTACATATCCCTTGAAAACAAGAAAAATATTTAATGATCATAGCACAACTACATATATATTTAACGAAAAAAAAAAATGAAAGGTAACTTCTTTTGGAGTATTTTTTAATAGTAATTTTATCTGCACTATCCCATTCCCCTTTATGGCTAGAACCCCATCATCACCTAACTTCACCGTTCCATTACACTCTTTAAAAGAAGTGAGTAGATCACGAGAGAACGTCATATAGTGAGAAGGACCGGTATCCATAATCCAGGAATCAACAATACTAGCACTATGTCAGAACTTCACCAAAGTCTCCGTCATCAGAACTGTCTTGTACTACAACAGCTACTGCCACTATTACTAGAATCAACTTTCGTATTTCTCTTCTTCTTGTAAAGATAACACTTAATTTTGCTAGAGGATTTTGATTTTGAACGCGACCTCTATTCCCGTTACCCATTACCCATCTCATGTGGTTTTCCCTTACCTGCAAACAGACCTGAACCAGAACTCTCTTCTATATAAACCTTTCTTTTCAATTCTTTGGACATAAGGGTATCTTTCACATCGTTAACAAAAATTATAGTTCTACTATATAGCATAGTATCCACAAAATTCTCATATGAACCAGGTAGTGAACACAGTAAAATTAGGGTTTGATCTTCATCATCTACTTTAACCTCAACCCCTTGAAGATCAAGAATAATACGATTAAAGGTATCAAGATGATTCTTTACCTGAGTACTTTCGGACATCCAGAAGGTGTAAAGACGTTGCTTCTGATATAGCCTGTTCGTGAGAGAGTTATTATAGTACTTCTCACACAGTTTATTCCATAGCCCAAAAGTCATCGTCTGATCTACAACCTCCCGTAACACCTCATCAGTAAAGTAACTGATAGCAAGATCGCGGAATGAACCCTTGCCAAAATCTCCTTATTTATCTCCTCATTCGTGTCTTTAGGAAATTTATCTTCTCCCTCCAATGCAGCCGCACATCCTTATTGAACCACCTCATTTTGACCTTCCAGAGCGTGAAGTCATTCGACCCATTAAACTTCTCCATATCAAATTTATACGAAGACATCTTCAATCAAACATGGTTCTGATACCATTTGTTAGGAAAAAATGAAAAAGAAAGTAAATAAAGAACACAAATGTTTTACATGGTTCGATGACGGTGTGTCAACCTACGTCCTAGGCAGGAACCAGAGAGACTTTACTGTATTGATTCAGAAAGTCATTCGACTACAAAACCATAACTATCTATTTATAAAAGCATCCCAAAACACCCTAAACTCTAAACCTATTTATTATTAATTAGGATAAGCCCAAAAAGAACCCTCCAATTGAAACAACCCTTTCACTTTAGTTTCGGATAGGATAGACCGCTAAATCCAAGTCACGTTTCAATATTTATTTATTTTAATTATAAAAAATTTTATTTTCAACAAAATAATATATATATTGCATATATTTTATTAAACTATAATTATTAAAATAATAAAATAATTCATTTGTGGTATTTATTGCATAACTGTGCAGGTCTTTTACTTCTTAAAATTTTTGTTAAAAGAAAAAATGAATTAAGTGTGTTCGTTTGTAGGATTTTAAAATCCTACTATTCATCCAATTTTTTTGCCCCAAAAACATCAAATCAAACACCTATTTTTTATTTTTTATATTATACTAAAAATTAATTTTACATTCAAAATATCACATCAACACCTATTTATATCACATCATACAACTATTCAAATTCAAAACTTTTACTATTCAAATCCCAATTCAAAATCCAAACCCCCAAACAAACACACCCTTGCTTCCGAACGCCGGAACTTGTTTGCAGGGTTGGAGGAATGTCGGGCCGAGACCAGGATTAATCTTAACTTTTGAAGGGTTTGCAGCAAAATAAAAGTCCTGCCCTTAAATATATATATATATAATAATAATTTTATGCCTATAATAAAATATGTATAATAAAAATAATATTTTTTCAATATTTTTTTATGCAAAAAATATCAATAATAATAAGGTAAAATTGTCAAATTTTATTAAAAAAGTGATACTATAAATTAAAATTATTAGAAGTAAAATTATTTATTATAAATGAATTATATATAAAATTGGACAATTAAAAAGAAAACCCGACATAATCATAGGATATTGATTTTTAAATTTTGTAATGATGTAATAATAGCAATGTATATTTAATTCTTTAAATATTTAAAAGTTTTAATTGTAGTGGATACGATATTTCTTCACTTTTTTTATAAAATTTTTTATTTTTTTTTTTTATTTTTTATTTTTTTACTTTTGGAATGAAAAATTACGTTAACAATATAAAATGAACAATAATATTTTATATTAAATAGTTAATTTTTTATAATTAAATAAAATATATATATATTATATTGTATCAATATTTTTATATTGTACGTTTTATAATAATATATATAGAAAATTATTTGAGTGAAAATTACTTAGCAAACAAAATAATTCTCCTATATATATATATTACTTTGAACTTTTAGATAAAATATTTTTAGGAATACGACAATCATTATTGCTTCTTTTAATCCATTTATTAGGATTACTATGCATTGTTACTTATTTAACCAAAAAAAAAAAAAAAAACAACACACTTATTTTCATATATCAGTGGTGACTAATGAATGTTGGTTTTTTTATGTTTTGTTTTTTTTTTTGGATTAATAAGAATTTTAGAACTTTTATAAATTATAGAAAATAAAATTAACTAAATTTAAGAATTAATATCAATAGAACATTAATTTATTCTATGCCCACTCTTCAAAGACTAATCCCTTAAAAATTATAAATATATATGATATATACAGTACTCTCTCCCCGTTCGCTTCTAAGGGTTGCATTTAACTTTTGTGTCGTTATATTTAATATTAAAAATATTTTTATATTTGTATAATATATATATATTTTTTTTGTGCAAAATGTCTTTCTATTAGCTAGTATTATAAAACAAAAATGGAAATGTTTCTGCAATTTTTTTTTTAATTTGTACTACATTTTGATATAATGATTAATATTTAAATATTAATATGTAAAAAGTAGATAAGACCCATAGAGCCGGACGAAGGTAGTATTATTATTGAGAACCTTAATGGTATATTAAACACAATATGTAATTTTTTCATTAAAATATTTATATATAAGTTATTCATCAGTTCGACTCAAAAGGTTTTATTTACCTTTTACGTCATTGTATTTGACATTAAAAATATCTTTATATTTGTATAACTTTTTGCATAAATGTTATTGTAATAGTATTATAAGACACTAATATAAGTATTTTTGTCATTTTTCTTTTGATTTGTGGTATATTTTTATATAATAATTAATATTCAAAGATTAACACGTAAAAAGTAAATAAGATCCTTAAAATCGGACGGAGGTAATATTATATATTGATTTAAAAGATTTTTTATTATTGTTTTGATGTTACACAAGATTTTATCAATTTTGTGTATCTTTTGTTTGTTTTATTTATTTATTTCTTTAATCTACTTTCAATCAATCATCATTTTTCTAAAAAATAATTTTAAAAATCTATTTTGCATTTAAATATTACCTCAAATATTGTAAATGTTTTAAATATTTATTTTGCGATAAATGTTACCTCAAATATTGTAAATTATTGGGAAACCGGTATGATGCACACATTTTTAAATTTTATTTTTGGTCCGTTAAATTTTTTATATTTTTATTTTTTTCGTTAAATTTATCTAATTAGTAGTTTTTACTAAAAAAATTTATTTACCTATTAACTTTTATATCACTATCAATATAACATATTATTTTCTTTAATCACTAACTTAATTCATATACATAGTTAGATCCACTTAATTATTTTTTTTATATTTTTCTCGAATTTTAGAAGAAAGAATTAATTTTGTAATCTCTATGTCACCCCCAATAAAAATAATACTGAATGGATGGAATACATTTTTTTTTATATATTATACATATTTATTAATCTCAATGTACTCTTTCAATCTAATATATAATAAAATAATTCCTTCAATAAATATCTCATTCAATAATTATTTTTATAAAAAATTTAACAATTACTCACTACAAGAAAGTTAAAATTTAATTACAAAAAAAATTCTTAGCAAAAGGTGATCATTCATAGCAAAATTTGTTTTGCGACCGAACTCATTTCGTCGCCTATACTGTGTTAGTAAAAGTCTTTGACGACAAATATGACTTTCGTAACAAAAATATGTTTTTTTGCAATGAAAATTAAGAATAAAGATATAGCTACAAAATATGATTTCATAGCTAAAACTCTTTGACGACAAATATGACTTTCGTAACAAAAATATATTTTTTTGCAATGAAAATTAAGAATAAAGATATAGTTACAAAAATATGATTTCGTAGCTAAATCTCTTTTTCTATAAAATTAAAATTTATAACAAAAGAGTTTTAGCAACAAAATACGTATGATTATTGTAGCCAAATGCTTCTAGTTATGAAAAATAATTTTGTAATTAAAACATTTTTGCTATTAAAATAGAATTTCCTAGCAAAAAAATTTTAGCGACGAAAATAATTTTGTAGTACATAGTTTATTTTTAGCGATATAAATTAATTTTTGTTACTAAATGACACGTTTTAACTACAAAAATATTATATTTTGTAGTTAAAAATATTATAGCTAATTATATATTTTTTGTAGTTACTTTTACAAGTTATTAATAGTATTATTAATAGATAGTTGGAATATACAATATTTTAGAAATTAGATTTTAGTGTCCAATCAATTTCTTTAAAAGCTAATTTATAAAATATTTAAAATAGATATTTAATCAGTCAAATGGCTAAAACCTATTTATTTATAAACTAAAAGTTTTTAGATCAAACTAATTATCCAACACCTTCAAAATAAGAGAGGAAGAGGTAAAACTTAAATCATGTGTGTCATATTATTCCATTAATTGCATCTCTATTTATAAACGAATGCAGCCAACTGCCCTAAGTCATGAGTGATCAAATACATAATTATAAATATTTTTTGACACGTCATAATCACCACGTGTAAGCCATGCACTCTAATTGTGTGTACATAGGGTCAGCAAAATATCCGAAATCCGAAAATCCAATCCGAATCAAACTGAAATTTAAAATTTGGTTCGGATTTTTTGGATTGGATCGGATTGAATTTTTAACAAATTTCGGATTTTTGGATCGGATCGGATCGATATACTTAAAATCCGAACCAATCCGAAATCCGAAATATAACATTTTAATATATTTTTTATTATACAGATTTAATATTTTATTAGAAAATATTATATTTTAATATAAAAAACTCAAATTTATTAATTATATTTTAATATATTTAATTTTTATATATTATATATATTTAATATTATAAAATAATAATAAAATATAAAAGAAATTTAAAATTTTAAAAAATAATAATAAAAATATTTAGAATTTCGGATTTTTCAGTTTGGTTTGAATTTTTTAGTTCGGATTTCGGATTTCGGTTATTTCGGTTCAATTCGAATTAGTTTTTTTAAAAATTTCGGATTTTCGGATCAATTCGGATTTGGCAAAATCTGAACCGAAAATCGGAATGATCGCCCCTATGTGTACATATATTAGGCTTTCATTTTATTTATTTATTGTAGTATTTAGAATTTTTGAATCTTTTTTTCTTTTTTAAAAAAAATTTAATACTCATTTTTATTTTTATTTTTCATACAAAATAATATACTACATAGTTTTAAAGGTTTGTCCAAGTTGAGCTAATTAATTGGTTGGTTAGTGGTTGTTATTCGATCAAAATGTGGATAAATACACAAATTAAATACATTTTGAATTGAATATTTCATATTTTCGTGTATAAAAAGGAGTATATATCTCAATAATGTTACTTGCTAAATAAATCCAAAAACAATATAAATTGTATCGAGACTCTCTGCCTGAGTTATATGACTGATACAAAAAGCATCAATGGCTGAAAATGTTGTCAATAACTTGGGCAAGGAAGTCGGAAATTTTCGCCGGGTTGTCGTTAACTACTCTCCAAGTTTATGGGGTGATTTGTTCCTCAGATACACTCCTGATGATCAGGTTTAATCTACTCTTTTTTATTCTAAAACAGTGCGAAAACAAATTTGGAAATAAGACGTAAACATGTAATAAACACAAGTTTATCCAAACGAAATAAAATTATACCTAAGAATAGTTTTTGTTTTGCACTAACAGCTCATGCAAGAATATTCAAAGGAGATTGAAGTGTTGAAGGATAAAATTAGGAGTATGCTAAAAACTCCTACGAGTTGCAATGACATCGTCGAAATAATGGACCTAATTGACACAATCGAACGCCTATGCTTGTCCTACCACTTTGAAGACGAGATCATAGACAAGTTGGAAAAATATTTCAATCTTGATGTGGATTATAAGAATGAAGCCTACGATCTCCAAACCATAGCACGTCACTTTCGATTATTCAGAGCACACGGCTATCATATGTCCTCGGGTATGTTTTAGTAGTCCCTTTTAAACTTCTTTTATGTAATTTATATAGCTAACTTTAAAATTTACCTACAATCAATATGCAAAATAGTCTCTCCGTCCACTAAAATAGGTACATTTTTCTATTTAGGTCTTCTAACAACAGACATGTTTCCTTAGTTTGTGTGGATCCTAGAATATTAATAAAATATTCTATCATTTCGGATAAAAGTACTAAAATATCTCTTTCAATATACATCGGATGTGAACCCTTACAATCTAAGGTTAGTTTAATCTTTACACACTTATACACTATTTATGAAATATTAAATACTATTATTCTTTAATCAATATTGAAACAGTAAAATATGCGTAAACTTAATGGTTGAAGGAAGTATACAAAATTAAGAGACGGCCTTATTAATCGATGAAAATTTTTCAACATGTTATGTTTTTTAATTGACAAAGTAGCTATATTTTGGGAAATAGATATTTTTAGCAAATTCAAGGATGGCGAAGGAAATTTCCAAGAAGTCCTAAAGAGTGATGCAAGGGGTTTGTTAAGCCTATATGAAGCAGCTCATCTACGGATACATGGAGAAGACATCCTCGACGAGGCTCTTACTTTTGCAACCTCAAATCTTATGTCTGCAATACAAACTCTCGATTCACCACTTAAAGAAGAAGTCGAGCATGCTCTAGTGCAGCCATTGCATTTGAGCATTCCAAGAGTTGATGCGCGAAAATTTATCTCAATTTATGAAAAACAAAAACAACATTATAACATCCTTATTAGATTCGCCAAATTAGACTATAATTTATTGCAAAAGCTTCACAAGAAAGAGCTCTACGAAATCTCAAGGTACCTTTATGCTCAACACACATACAATGTATGTCTCTATAAAAATGTGGTGAAACTAACTATCATTGATCCAGGTGGTGGAAAGAATTGGATTTTCCTTCGACACTTCCATATGCTAGAGACAGAGTAGTCGAGTGTTACTTTTGGTCGATGGGGGTGTATCATGAACCTCAATATTCTCATTGCCGAGTTTTACTCACCAAAGTCATTGCAACATTATCCATACTCGATGACACTTATGATTCTTATGGTACAACTGAAGAACTTAATGCCATTACGGATGCTATTCAAAGGTAGCAAGATATCATACAATTCTTTGATTTAGATAAATTTTGGAATTTAATTTTATTACAACTGATTATCTTAGAGATAATTCAGGTGGGATACTAGCCAGATCGACCATGTCCCAGAGTATTTTAAATCATTCTACAAAACACTTTTAGAACTCTATGAAATATTTGAAGAAGAATTGGAAGCGAGAGGGCAATCTTATGCAACATACTATGCCAAAGAAAGTGTAAGTTAAATTGCAAGTTAGTATCATATTCATTAACGGTATTCAAGACAATATCTATTTGATAATATAAAAAGAAAAGAATAAAATAGCGAGCAATAACAACTTTTCGGGCTTTGTTTTTATAGAAAGTTTAAATAGTGTATGGTTCTTGGAAAGTTATTACCATGCTCTATCTTTCTTCATTAGTGAAAATAGATAATTAAGTTTTAAAAACTAATAAGTTATTATGTTTTGGTGTTTTTTGATCTTGACATTTAAGAATAGAAAATAATTGTTGAATACGATATTTTTGAGATAAAAATGATAGAATGAATAAGTGAATAGTGGGTTTGAAAGTACAAGTAAATAAACTAGTACGATTTGTTAGAATCGATGTATGATCTTCCAACTTTATACTATAGCTAACTATATATGTTTTTTTTTTTTTTTGTTTTGATTCATGATGCAGCTTAAAGAATTGGTGAGAGGCTATAATGTTGAGGCTAAATGGTTTAATGCGCGGTGTTTGACCCCATTTGATCAATATCTAAGTAATGCTATTGTTACATCTTGCTACTATTACCTTGCAATCGCATCATTATTTGGAACAAAATTTGCAACTAAAGAAAACTACGAATGGTTGATGACGAAACCTAAAGTACTAGTAGCAAGTTGCATCATTTCTCGTCTTGTTGATGACGCGGCTACATACGAGGTATGCATATTTATCGATATAATTTCATTGTTTATACTCCATCATTAAGTATAGACATTTTTGGTGGACGTCCTAAATACCTATTGTTAGCGTACAGACGAAGTATTAACTCAACTTACACATTCAAATTATACCCTTTTAATTTATGTCTTATTCAAATTATATCCTTTAATTTATGTATGTACAAATTATTTGTCATATCGATTATTATTATTATTATTGTTGTTGTTGTATTTTAAGGTTGAAAGAAAGATTAGAGGCCACACCGCTACTGGCATAGGATGTTATGTGGAAGATAAAGGAGTTTCCGTCGAAGAAGCCATAGGTAAGTTCTATGAGATGGCTAAAGATGCATGGAAGGATATGAATCAAGAGCTTCTCAAACCATCGATACACTCGATGGATGTTCTGACACGAATCTTGAATTTGGCGCGAGTAATAGAAGTTGCTTACAATGGTAATCAAGATGGATATACACATCCAAAGAGAGTTTTAGCACCACATATTAAGTCGTTGCTTGTAGATCCCATCATAGTTTAAGATTTCTTGTCATCTTAATAAAACTTTATATATATATATATATGTTTGTGAGTGAATAAGAGCTTGGAATGCTCATGTATTTGTCATATGTATATTTTCGGTTGTTTTCTTGTTAATATTTTGTTTTGCTATTATATATTTCCCATGATTTTTCCCTTTCCCTCCTTCCTTGGAACTCATATACAAAAACTTTATTTCTTGTTGTCTTTTGAATGACAAAAAGAAACATTTATTCCAACCTACATGCGAAAAATTACAATTTATATCATAATTATTTACACATTTAGTTTATTTAAAATATTCTAAAAATACCATTATTTTATGTCAGTGTCCATCAATATAATACTATATTTATTAAACCATGTGCATAGCTCAAATGAGTCTAAATTTGTGGACATATGGAATATTACTACCTCTGTTCGCCAAAATTATATCATTATTTGTTATTTGTCATCAATTCAACTTATTTATAATCTATTTATAGTAAATAGTTTTTACTCATAATTTTATTATTTTTAATTTAACAAATAATAACTAATTTGCTACTCCTTGGTCCCACGTACCATGTCCATGTTGCCGTTTCTGTACGTCCCACGTACTATGTCACTTTCGTTTTTTTGGAAAATGATTACACACATTAATCTCATTTTAAACTTTTTAATTTTTTTTTTTTAAAATTTTAATTAAACTAATTAGTTATCTTAATCTTAATTTATAATTATTTATATTATCGAATAATTATTTTTACTAATACATTCTTAATTATTTACTAATTATACTCCTCTACGGTGTAACAGACACGGCATGTGGAACGGATGGAGTATTATTTTTCTATTTACCCCGTTACTTTTTAATCAATCATTCAATATATATTATATAATACCTCCACTTCATTTTTTTACCTGCCTTATTTTAATACTAAAATATGATCATTTTTTAATCTCCATGCCCCACCAACTTCACAAAATTTAGGGGACATAAAAAGTATTTTTTAATGGTAGTTGACCTTAATTTTGTATGTAAAAATTAATTTGTCTTCTGGTACAATTGTAATCATGTACATAATTGTAAATAGACAATATTTGTAATGTTAGTAGATGATATTTATTATAAAAATGAAATGAATACTTTGACTTTAGATCACTCAAAATAGTTAAATGGTTACCTTTGATAAGGATGGAGGAAGTATATTTGTATAAAATTTGTCTTTAATATATGCTGACTGTTGGGATGTATTCTCTTGCCATTTTTCTTTTATTTTGTATTTTAATTTTAATATTTTAAAGATGAAAAAGTTTATTGAAGGTCATCTTTTTATATAAGAAATAGGTATTGAATGTAAATTTTTTGAAAAGAAAAAGGGTAAAATAAGGTATTCATTATAAAACATAGAAACTAAGTGTAATACCGAGTTGGGCCGGTGCTAGGCCAACTTCCATAGATGAGTCGGTGGTAGACCATCCGAGGTTGAATATAGGTTAAAAAGATTGAATAGACTACTAATATTAACAATATGCACACTCCTTTCCGAAAATCCTACTAAAAAAACTCTACAGTTAAGTGTGATTGCTCTAGAGTAGTAATTTGAGTATGGGTGACCCTCTAAAAAGTCTCCCGCGTGAGTGAAGACAAAAGCCTGCTGGAACAACTCGTGTTGACCTATGAGGCCAGTTTACGATCCTCACATGCCTGACTTTGCGTGGCATGTGGGCCGGAGTGTCATACTAAAAATACAAAAGGACACCAATTGAAATTACATGAGCATTCCTAGCTCTTACTCACACACTAACATATATATGTGTAATCTTATTAAGATGACCAGTCTTAAATTATGATGGGATCTGCGAGCAATGACTTGATATGCGGTTCTAAAACTCTCTTTGGAAGTGTATATCCATCTTGATTACTGTTGTAAAGAACTTCGACTACTCGCGCCAAATTCAAGATTCGGGTCAGAACATCTCTTGAGTGTGTCGATGGTTTGAGAATCTCTTCATTCATATCCTTCCATGCATCTTTAGCCACCTCATAGAATTTATCTATGGTTTCTTCAACCAAAACACATTTTTCTTCAGCATAACATCCAATACCAGTAGCTTTGTCGCCTCTAATCTGTCTTTCAACCTAAAATGACAATTGTTATAAATATCAATACGACATATTTTACAGAGATAATAGAAGGTGGATGTGACAATAGCGTTGCTTAGATATTGATCAAATGGTGGCAAGCGTCGCGCATTGAACCACTTAGCCTCAACATTGTAGGCTCTCGCCAATTCTTTAAGCTGCATCATGGATTGAACAAAAAGAATGATACTTAGCTGTAGTATAAAGTTCGAAAACTATACCTTGCTTGAAGCATATTATACTAGTTTTTTACTTGTGCACAATCTATTTATAGGAAACATCTTTATCCACCTACAATTTTATTACCCTTACTTTAACAAATACTTATCTATCCTACTTTAAGATTTAAATATCATTATTTTTTATTCTCTTGCCCAACCAAACCTACATTATTTTATCGAACAGAGGGAGTACTATATCCAACCACTATATTATTGTAATTAGGTGTGGAGTGGTTTTTATCCTTTACATTGAAAGATTTTTCATGTAAAAATTATCAGTGCCTGTATTATTGTTCCCTTGGTTTTATTATTTTTTGTTATTTCTTGTTCATCGGTGAAAGAAAAATATTTTGGTGAAGAAAGTTTAGTGGGACAGCATACTAGAAGTAACTTAGGCGTGATCACATACAGGGATTGTAGCAAATTATGTCATCTACCCGTGACTATGTATGTGCTAACATGGCTACATGTTATGTTTTCTTGGTGTGACCACGCACAAGGACAGTTAAATAATCTGATAATTTTCTTCTTCGCCTGAATTTTCAGAACACTTGAATACTCTATACTGCATACTATGATACTAAGTTGCAATATATTAACTTACATTTTCTTTGGCATAGTATATTGCATAAGATTGCCCTCTCGCTTCCAGTTCTTCTTCAAATTTGTTGTACAGTTCCAAAAGTGCTTTGTAGAATGATTTAAAATAGTCCGGGACATGATCAATCTGGTTCACATCCCACCTGAAATATCTCTAAGATAATCAATTGTAATATACTTAAATCCCAAACTCTATCTAATTTAAAGAAGTATGAACTATTGTTACCTTTGAATAGCATTTGTAATAACATTTAGTTCTTCAGTTGTACCATAAGAATCATATGTGTCATCGAGTATGGATAGTGTTGCAATGACTTTGGTTAGTAAAACTCGGCAATGAGAATATTGAGGTTCATGATACGTCCCCAGCGAAAAAAAGTAACACTCGACTACTCTGTCTCTAGCATATGGAAGTGTTGATGGAACATCCAATTCTTTCCACCACCTGAATCAACTAATGATAGTAAGTTTAACCAAATTTATGGATGGATACATACATCATATGTGAGTTGATTATGAAGTTACCTTGATATTTCGTAGAGTTCTTTCTTGTGAAGCTTTTGCAATAAATTATAGTCCAACTTGGCCAATCTAAGAAGGATGTTATTATGTTGTTTTTAATTTTCATAAATTGAGATAAACTTTCGTGCATTAACTCTTGGAATGCTCAAATGCAATGGCTGCGCTAGAGCATGCTCGACTTCTTCTTTAATGGGTGAATCGAGATTTTGTGTCGCAGACTTGAGATTTGATGTTGCAAAAACAAGAGCCTCGTCGAGGATGTCCTCTCCATGTATCCATAGATGAGCTGCTTCGTATAGGCTTAACAAACCCCTAGTATCACTCTTTAGGGCTTCTTGGAAATTTCCTATATCATCCTTGAATTTACTAAAAACATCTTTTCATAAATAAAGATCAGTGAAAAAAAAAAATTAAAAATCTTAGTAAGAACATATAATCAATAAAACATTCTCATATTTTTAAGTAACATGCATTTTCCAGATTAGTATTTTTTAATTTATCTTTGCTTTTGTTTTTTTTTTTTTTTTTCACCATAATGTAACCGAAAAAAAATAAATCAAAGCATACCCGGCAACATATGATAACCATGCGCTCTGAATAATCGAAAGTGAAGCGCTACCGTGTGGAGATCGTAGGCTTCATAAATATAATCCACATCAAGATTGAAATATTTTTCCAACTTGTCTTCAATCTCATCTTCAAAGTGGTAAGACAAGCATAGGTGTTCGATTATATCAATTAGCTCCATTGTTTGTGTAGGAGTTGTTAGCATACTCTTGACTTTATCCTTCAACACTTCGATCTCCTTCAAATACTCTTGCATAAGCTAGTAGTAAAAGAAATAAACAAAAAAAAAAAAAAATTATTCTTAACAATTTTATTTCCTTTGGATAAACTTGTGTATAATTGTATGTTTACATGTATTTTCATATATATTCTTGCACTATTACTTTTTATACTGAAAAAGAGTAGATTAAACCTGATTATTAGGGGCGTATCCGAGGAACAAATCACCCCATAGACTTGGAGGGAAGTTACCGACAACGCAGCGATGATCTCCGACTTCCTTGCCCAAGTTATTCACATGTTTTTCAGCCATTGCTTTTTTTATGGCTCATAGAACACAACAGATGAGTGATCTATTATTTGTGCTTTAATTTGCAAGCAATATTAATGGAATATTCAGTTAATATAGACTAAATTGCACAAAATCCATATGTAATTTCACGAAATTACGTCAAATCCCCCGTACTTCTAAAACTGCGTCAAACTCCCTTGTGATTTCATAAACTTTGCGTCTAACCCCATCAGCGGTTCTTATTTAACGGTATTTGACCTTAATGCTTATAAACCCCTCAAATTACAAATATTTGTATTTTTCTTATATTTAGCCTTAAAAAAACAGTAAAAAATAAACTCTTAAAACATGAGGAAAAAAAACTATTTTAGAAATTAAGATTCTAAAATTTATTCATAATTTAGACGCTTTAGGTCAAATACCGTTAAATTAGGACGGCCGAGGGGTTAGACACAGAGTTTATGAAACACGAGGAAGTTTGAGGCGCAGTTTTAGAAGTACGAGTGATTCGTAAAACCACATGCAAATTTTGTGCAATTTAACCTTTGATATATGTGTATGTATATATATATATACATAGACACGCAAGTTTGTACAGATGCGTTTAGGTCGAATAACAACCTATTAACTATGTATTAATTAATTAGCTCAAGTTGGACAAACCTTTCAAAACTATATGTGATGTAGCGACTATTACATATTAAAGTATTAGTAATATTTAAGTGGTTGAAAAAGGTTGTTACTATTTATAGTTTAAGTTTGGTGGACATATTTAAATTAAAATTTATTGTCACTCGAATTCTTTTATCGACGGCTTAGCGAATTGAGTCAGTCGAAAATCGGTAAATTATCCAGTTTTCTAAAAAAAGGATTTGAAACCATGCCGAATGAATCCGACATAGTGATAGGAAATCAAAAATAATGTAGAAATATGCACTACAAAAAAGTTGAGATTAGCTCATGAAAAATTTTGTAACAAAAAGTAATAATTTTGTAGCTAAAAAGTTTTTACAACAAAATTAGTTTCTTCGTCTATACTGCGTCAGTAAAGGTCTTTGGCGACAAATTTTACTTTCATAAAAAAAGATAGATTTTTTGCAATTAAAGTATAGAACGGGATATAGCTACGAAAATATGATTTCATAGCTAAAGTTTGTTTCGCTATAAAATTTTTTTCATAACAAATGAATTTTAACAACAAATTGTGCATGACTTTCTTAACCAAATGATTTTAGCTATTTAAATAGGATTTTCGAGCAAATGAATTTTAACGATAAAATTAATTTTGTAGTACATAATTTATTCACTACAAAAAAATATCAATTTTGTAACAAGATTTTTTCGTTGTTAAATCCACTTTTTCCGTTACTAATGATATTAGATACGGAATTTGAGATGGAATTACGTTAGCTACGTGAACTTTAGTAACGGAATTCCGTTACAAATATACTATTTTTTTGTAGTGATTGTTTACGACAAAATTAATTTTTGTTGTTGAATGATACGTTTTAATTACAAAAGTATTTCTTAGTTAAAGATATTATAGCTAATTAGACATTTTTTTTTTGTAGTGATGTAGTGATAATTAAACTGCCCAAATAGAGACTGAACTGAGCAAAATTGTACTGAAATTGATGCAGAAAATGACTATAAAATTGATTCAAAGGTGAATAATGAGATGCAACAAGGAAAATTGAGTAAAAAGAACAGCAAAAATTGAATTAAAAGCATACTAACGGGTGTATTTAATTAAGATTTTATAAGAGTTTTTTGGATTTTTTAACAAAGTCTTTTAAAATATGAAAGTATTCACTTTTAAAAATCATTTTAAAATTTGGAAGTATTCAATTTAGAATTTTGAAAGTCATATTCAATTTAAAATTCTGAGAGTCATTTTAAAAATCCAGGTATTTAACTAAAATTATTAAAAGTTTTTTAAATCCTAGAGTATCATTCAACAATCTATACACTTAAAAGTCTGTAACAGTTTCAAACTCCCATGCCTCCATGTCTACCTGCCACACATGGTTCGCCTAGTGTAACTTACCTTGTCGAGCTTAATTTACAAAATATTAAATTCGATTAGGGGTTTATCCAATACATACTTTCATGCGAATTCTTACGTTATAGGAAACAAACAAAAAAAAAAGGTCTGTGACTTTTATTAGATTTAAATGGAAAGTACATAATGATTATTGTTATTATTATTCATGTTTAAATGAAAATATAATACTAATATTTATTAATACTATTATAATTTTTTAATAAAAATAATAATCTAAAACTAAAATATATTAGCCAATTATTATCAAATATTTCAAAAAATTTATTTTATATTTTTAAATATACTATTATTTTATCATAATAAATATATTATTGTCATCTTCTCATTTTCAAATAGATTAGATATTTATATTTTTCTTCGTTGAACCGTGGGTTTATATTTATTTGTCTATTTAATTTTTATTTTTTCTAATTTTTTAATTTCATTTTTTTCAAAATTAGTAAATTCTGAAGATTAAGATTTCTCACACATCTCGACATTAAATAAAAATTTAGAATTTCATGTATAACCGCGATGAAAATGATGATGACGAAAATGAGAATGAAAATGATCATAATAATGTATTTTTTAAACTAATAGTTTTGTGTTTTTATTTAATAATTTAAATATATTTGTTTTTTTTTTTATCTACAAGTGTGTGTAATATAAAATGTATCTGTGATTGGACAACATCATAAATTTGGTTACATGTATTACATTTTGTCCATGAAAAATTGGGTCAATGCTCTATGAAAATTAATTTGAAAAAAAAAAACATTGGTGATTTTTCTAAAGCTTCAATGACATTTATTCTAATTTTATCGTTGACAGAGCAACTATACGGTGCAACTGTGATTTTATCCAATAGAAGAGCAACCTTTGATTTCCTACTAACTTTGTTATTTGCATAATTAGAATCTATTATCATCTTAAAACCATATTTACCCGATTGATTATATCTGAAATCCAAATTAAATGAGCCACAAAAGTAACTTAACAACCAATTTAACGTATTCTAACGTTCAATGCTGGAATTAGACATATATCTACAAAGATTACTAAAAAAATATATGCAATGCTAGATCTAGTGCTATTAGACATATATCTACAAAGATTACTAAAAAAATATATGCAATGCTAGATCTAGTGCTCACCATGAGGCGTTTAATTTTTTATTTAAAGAAATATATGATGCTACGTACCGGTATAAAAAGTTTATGCATCACTTATGTTAAAACGTTTTATTACTATTTCCGTATAGGATTTCTCCTTAAAAACGGAGAACGACTTAAGTTTATTCCTTTCAATATAACTTCATATCAGAATGATCACTCAAATACTTATTTATTTGATCATTGTGTTAAAATATGTCTCTAGTATCTCATTTGTGTGCAATAGCTCGGGTAATCTTTCACTCTTTACTCTCTCGCCCTTCTCGTGTTCTTTGTGTGAATGGTGGTGAAGTTTTTTGGTAAAATTGTTAGACGAGCTCATCTTCATAATTTTGCAAAATTTCACAACATTTTGATGGTGTATTTTTTTGTAAACTTTGTGTTTGATGTAGTTCAAGATTTGGATTGGTCTCAGAGTAGATTGTAAAGTTTGAGTGGGCATTAGTTGGCCCTTGATAGTGTCATGAGCTCTCATTTTTTGAGTTATTTTCTCTATAAAAGAGTAAAATTGATTTTTAGTATAATATAAAAAATAAAAAATAGGTGTTTGATTTGATATTTTTGGGGAAAAATTTTTGGATGAATAGTAAAAATCCTACAAACGAACACACCCTTTGTAAATTTACGGTTCATATATATATTCCAATTCCATTGGAATATATGTTTTACAACTCATGCAAAAATATCATATCTAACAATTATTTACATTAAAAATATTAAAAACAAATAATAATAATAACAATAATAATAATAATACCTTGCATCAAGCTCACCCAAATTTATAGTGTACTTCTCTATCTAGTACACTTTATAAAAAATATATATATATTTTATTTATAATTTAAAACACTTAAACATTCCTTAATACTTTTTAATTTTACACTTATAACAAATATTTTCCAATCGTTTTACACGTATAATTCAGTCAAAATTTCCTTTAACCTCGTTAACTCACTTATAGAATTTATAAAATACCTTTAATTTCTACACAATGATTAAAATACACACCTAATTGAAATTAATATAGATTTGATTGACGGGAGTATATAATTTGAGTTCGGGTATGGTCCTCAATTATTATTTCAGGACCATCTGATTCAACTATAATCATAGGATGATGAACTGTCAAGATCATATATACGGATGATGAAATAATTTATAATAGATAAAGCAATCATTAATTTATGCATAAAATAAGGATATATATATATAATATTTATTTATTATTGTGGTTATAATAAATTCAAACTCGATCATTTTTACACCAAAAAAAAGAAAAAGAAAATTATGCTTTCTCTGTCGACGTCGATCGACCTGAGAAAATATACTAGTAAACTTAGAACTTGGAAGAAGATAGATCAAAATAATGTGCATTCCCTTGCGTATTAGCACCGTATGGTCGAAGATGAAATTCAAGAAGATCATGAACTCAATAATTATTCTTTTTTTTTATTATTATTTATTGCGAAAGTAATGTAGAACGGATTTATTTTACGTCATATTTGTATTCATTAAATATCATATTATACATATGAATACAACATAAATTTATTGGTTATCCAGTAACTCGGTGGTCGTATTAAGTAGTACTGAATCATAACCAAAATCGATAGAAAATACGGATATGCAATGGTATATTGCGAAGCTTTAATTCTACATTATTTATCAAATTCAATAGTTATGCGCATAATTTATGGGGAATAAAAACAATCGAAATTATTTCATTGGATCGATTTTAGATTTTATTGTGCGTGAGAATAAATATTATTTAAATATTGCCTGAAAAACAAATGTCATATTTCACA